TCTTTTATGATTCCTGGTATACTTCTAAATACGTTTATTCTAATTAAAGCCTATGAATCTAAAGTGTTCGTTCATAAGTGATATGTCGATTAAAATATATTATCTACGGGCGACGATAAATTTAATATTGTAGCAGTACGATTTAATTAAGTGAAACTGCATGTGCCAGCAATATTTAAAAAAAAATTTCTAGAGACCTTTTATGATAATATTTATTATTAAAATCTTGATTTTGATTGGTTTAAAAAAAAAAGAAAGAGCCAATATTTTCATTCATAATTATAAAGATTATCTTTAATTTATAATGCTAGCACAGACTTGTTTCATTGTCAAATTCATAAATACAATTTGCGAAAGTAGAAACGAGCAATTTTTTTAAATATTAAAATTATTACGTTATTTTTTTTTTTTAATAAAAAAATAGAATTATTATATGGAAACTTGTGCGAATAATAAAATAATTTTAACTCGTTTCTACTTCTTTTTAAATAACACTAGCCATAGCACTCGATTCATAATATTACCATCTTTTTTTTCTATTTTTAAATTAGATATCAACAATTTGATATGAAAAATTCACTAACCATGATGGGACGTAGATTTTTATATGATTAAGTTTGCCAACAGCAGTTTGTTTTTATCTCACTAATAAACTTCCTTAAATACTTAGTAATATTTTAAGTTTCAATATATAAGAATGAGATATTTCAATAATCATATCATAAAACTTATTTTATATTCTTATTGCCTAAAAATAGTCATCCGTTCTGAGGAACCAGTACTTTTTTTAGCTTTGGCATGTCATCACGGTTTCTTTTCCGCAATAACAATGAAATTCTAGCCAAGATTGCAAAATGCAATTAGCAAGTTTTATAAGTAAGATGATAGTATATATTCTTTTTGTGGAAAATAATTTCATCTACTTCGTTTGAAAGTATTAGAAAGATTGACGCGTTTTTTTTTTAAAATTCATTCGCATTTTATAAGCTTAAAGATGATTAAAAGTTGACTAGAGACAATAATCTCTCAAATTTATAATAAATGAAGCTAAAGCTTCCATCTCTCGATTCCAACTCTTTAGTTTTGAGGGAATTTACGAACGGCAGCATTTACATGGATTGCATGGATAATGCTTTTTAGTCAAATCTAATATTAAGAGTAAATATAAGCTAGTTAATTATTAAAAAGCAAAAGTATACTGAATATATCTTTGCTTGATTACCTTCCTTTCACATTAGAAAGAATTTATTATTACTCGATTCGAGGTTCCCTATCTATTTTCTTAGAATATATATATATATATATATATATATATGTATATATATATATATGTATACATATATTTCTCAAATAGCAAAAGCGTATAGCAATTGTAAATATAAAAATTTTCATGATACTGTCCTTGGCAAACTTTTTCAATTGAAATACTTAAAATATAATAATTTTGGAATCATGCATAGTCTATCTAATCTAATTGTAAAGAAAAAAAATACACACTATAAATAACATTCTCTATTTTTCTATTCCAAATATTCAAATGCATATTTAATAAGCAAAATTTCCTAGTGTTTAATTTTTTGTTATATTTTGACGTATCAGTATGGATGAGGAATTTCACTTTTTTTTCATCCATTAAAATTGACACGTTTCATGGCTATTGCCTTATTAAAATAACTTTATAAATATATGTGCATTATACTTTTTTTTTTATGAAGAATGAATTGAACAATGATTTTGATGTTAGATGGAATAAAATCTTGGAGTATAAGTTTTACATGAAATTTCATCTAATATCATTCAAATATTAAATTTCCATATACTTTTTACTTTTTTCTAAGATTTTTCTACTATAACAATTGCCTTTAACAGCACTTAAAACACACATATTAAAATTTTATAGAAAATCCATATCGTAGCGTACAAGATAGTTAATTTTGAACCTCTGTGCGCTTAATATACTCAAATTTTTATGTAAATCACGATTTATCGTTTCATTTAATAATTTAAGATATGCCATTTTGTACGAAGTCACACTTCAAAAGAAAAATAATAATTATTAAATTTATAAATTTAAGAATTTGTCGAAAATATTTCATTTTACATAATGTTTGTCCAAATATTCCTACTAAAAACTGAACTTTTAAATTTAATAACATTCTCACGAAATTTTTTATATCATGTAAGAATATCAAATGAAACTATTTTAACAGATTCCATAAATAATTCATTAAAATATTAAAAACGTCTTTTATATGACACATCTCTGTTTTTTTTTTTCACTTACTCGTAATATCCTTACAAGAAAACTGTATGTGTATGAGGCAATTTGAATGTTGCAACACTAGCTACTAATAACGGTAATGCGGTTAGCAATGCAGGCGCAATAAGAGGTGCGCTAACTAAGGTTTTATAAGTTGTAGTTCCTATTAAACCACATATTCTTATGACGCCTGCTATAAAACCGAAACCAGTACACCTGTAAAAATTAATATTACCTTACTATTAATCTATTTTTTTTTTAAATTTTCTTTAGTGAAATAAAAATCAAAACGAAATTTACCTTAAATGGGTTGGGAAGCTCTCAATTGTAACCAATGTAAGAGATGTCCAAGCAATAGCAAAAACTGCTATAAAACCACCTTCAAAACCAAGCACTGCAGAACTATTTGTGCCCACTAAAATTAAACATAAAGCAGCTATTGAGGAGAAAAATAATGAAATACCAATCATCTTTGGCCGTTGAAACACAGTAAGTGCTAGCCCTGCTAAAGCAGCAGCAGGCACAAAGGATAATTGAGCAACAAGATGACCATGTAATGCTTCTTCTATGTAAATATTATAATCCAAATCAAGAGTCGGACACGGTCCTCTTAAACTTAATTCTGTATTATTTTCAAGTGTACAATTTGTAAAAACTTGTGCAGATAGATCCGTATCTACAAATCTAGAAAAATAGATAATCATATATATTTTACATTTAAGAAAAAGCCAAATATTGTCATTTTAAATGCATACTTTGAATGCACAATAATACTGTGTGTAAAATGAGTTTTACTAGATTTTATGTTATTAAATTCTACGGATTGAAAAGTACAATTATCGAAATCTACATGACTGAATACCATTTTACTGAATCTGAAACAAAAATTCTGTTATAAAATCAAGCTTAATTTTATATATATACTTCTTCTCATATCTACTTACTTGCAATTCAAAAATGTTGAATCTTTATATTGACAATTTTCTAAAGAACCATTGAATGTTCTTCCTGTGTATATTTCATCATGAAATAGAACTTTATGAGCTTTATATTCTGTAGCACGCAAAAGTTTAAGATACTCAGGACACCATACCATAAGACCATATAATCTGAAAAAAAAATCAGAATATTAAAAAATAAAAGAGTGAAATATTTAAAATATTTAATAAAAATACATACCCAAATGATACAGTTGACCAAATAATTATAAGCACTACTGTGACGCGCAAATGAGGCGATACAAATAATTCTAAAAAGGAATTCCAGAACTGAAAATTTAATAAAAATTAAATGTTAATAAGTGTAAAAAATTAATGGTAAATTTTGTAAATTATATTGAAATAAAAAAATATATATGTTCGTACCATCTCAATGGAATAAATAATATCAGCCAAAACACTAGTATGATTACTAGGAGATGGAGGTGCTAAACCACGAGGCCTTTTAGTTGGAAGCTCTAATTCAGAAAGTTGATATTGTGCACCTGTTGCACCTTTCCGTGTATTATTTTTTTTATATATTTTCTAAAAAAATATTATATCTTAAATATAAAAAAAAACATTTTTTAAATACAAATATATATAATAAAAAATACCTGATAAACCATCATTGCCTCCACATCTCTGCCAACTTCTACCAAATATCTTGGACTTTCTGGTAGAAAAATAAGCCCAATAGTAGAACATAATGCAGGTAAACAGCAAAGTAAAAGAAAGCGATGCCAAGCACTGAAATGTTCTTTATTTTCAAGAACTACCATTTCTCCAGTTGTAGGAACTACTACCCATGCTAAAAGAGCTGCATATACACCTCCCAATGCTCCTGCTGCTACTAATAGACCAACCCATCTACTTCTGCTTAATCTTGGACAACATTCTGCGAGATATGTAAATGCTAATGGTAAAGATCCTCCTACTCTGTGAAATAAAATGAAATAAAATGTAACTTTTTTTTTAATGAAATATTTAAAATTTATTTAAATATAAATACAAAAAAAAAAAAAGAATTTTTTACCCAATTGCAGAACAAAATCTAGCACACATAAAAGTTCCATAAGTTGGCATAAAAGTTGCAACACCACTAAATAAAGCATGAACAGCCATTGCAGATAATAAAGATCTTCGTCTACCAATTCTATCTCCCAAACCACCCCAAAATAGTCCACCTAGTGCAAGGCCCATTAAAGTAATATTACCTATAAGAAAAGAGTATAAGAATAATTATTAGAATAGAAGAATAATTATAGAAAAAAATACATTATACAAAGTAAAATAAAAACTAACTGAGCCATCCTTTTTCATTGTCCTCAATGCAAAGTTCAACTTCAGCACTTGGTAAAATATATGGTACAACAAAAAATTCAACAGTATCTGCTGCAAGACTCAAACCTGTGCATAGAGCAGCTAATAATTGGAAATAACCAACACCAGCCTGAAAAATAATTAACAATTTAATAACATATAATATGATACAAGATAATAAATAATCAGATATTTTGCATCATTGTTTATTAAATATAATTTTATTTAATATAAACGATAATTGCTATACATTTATATATTTTTATAAAAATATATATGTATAACAATATAACCTTCAAAATATAAATTATAGAAAATCTATTTACTGGAAAATCATTTAGATAGCCTGGTATCTCTCTTGACTCATATTTTGTTTTTACAATTGATTCATCTAAAACTTCATCCATATTGACACTTTAAAAAAATCTAAAACACTGGCAGTGAAAGGGTAATTAAGGAACTAAAAAAAATAACTTGAATAAAAAGGACGCCATTTACTATAGGTTATGTTTTTGTTATTCGATTAATCAAATTTTAATATTTCATTTCGATATGTCGAACGTTATAATAACCAATGCAAAAATAGATTTTAAATTTGTATAAATTCATTGATTTATAATCAGCTTCACACTTTAAAAAAAACATTCTAAAAATTTTTGATCGATAATCGATAATTCGATAATCGCAATTGGCTTGCAATGTAATTCAAATTTTAATTAAGTAAGAACTTTGATATTGTGTTTAGAATTTTGCAATATTTTATTAATTTTATTATTTGCAATGTGCATAAAATTTATTACCAATATATAAAATGAATATATAAATGATATATTTTTTTTTTTCTTAACTTTTTATAAATGATATTTTACATTTTATAAATAATATTATATATAAAAAGTACAAATAAACATTTTAAAAGTTTATGTAAATAGTTAATTATAAAAAATAAAATTTATAATAAAATAATTTTTCAAAAAATTGTTTTTTCTAAAAAAAAGCTTTAAAATTGTACTCAATTAAAACTAAATTCATTTTATAATATAAACACTTTATTCATTTTAATATAAACATTTTAATGTAAACCCTAATAAATATATGTTTGAAATGAAAAAAATGAAAATAGAATAACACACCTGCTTGATAGCATCTTCGTGAAATTGTGCTAAAAGTGTTGCATCCGCAGTAGAGTCAATAAGATCATGTTCAGCAGAATCGGCTGAACCAGTGTTCACACTTGCAGTGTTTGTATTCGTTGGTTGAGTCGTCATCTCTTCAGTATATAATCCTCCTCTAATGTTTAACGTACGTTCTCCAGTTCCGGATATCGTGCCACCGCCGGAAGATGCAAGACCACCCCCGCTGCCAACGAGCCACTGGCTTTCCTCCTCCGACGAGGGCATCACTGCCACAAACCATCTGCAACATAATTAATTATCAGCTTGATCAACAAAAGTTAATAAGTATCACATAAAATATGTAAAGTTGAAAATTTTTTCACAAATTTCTTTCTCTGCTATTTATATTATTATTGAAATAAAAATAAGCATTTGATTATTAAAGTTGAAAATCATTGTTCTAGAATTCTTTTTAAAATTATTTATTAATAATTCTATGAAAAATTGGTGATATCTTCTTTCTTTTAAAGAAATATATTATATATAACATAGAATATATATAGAAGAATATTTTATCATTTTTATAGTTTTATAATTTAAGAAATTATTATTGAGGTATAGGAATCTTTTCGAAAATGTTTAAAAAATTTTATCTATACGTAATAATATTCATCTTGCGTCAATATAACGTCATTAAAGATTTCATCGAAGCGTGCATTTTTGCAGGAATTTATTATTACAGTTACAAGCCTTGGAACGTGTCATCAGACACACATGATGGCACGTTAATTTATCGATTCATGTTCACTCATATAAGTCGATCATAAACGCCTACGAATAAAGCTCATGTATAGGGTGTGTATGTAGCTTTATTTAAATATACACGATTACACGTGTCAACCTTGCATCAACGAGGTGGACATTGTTAAGTATAACAGAGTTTGCGTTTCCGCAACCTTTTATGTTTCTTCTTTGACATTTTTCTTGTTTTTTCCTTATTTCTTTTTATTTACTATGGCAAATGCGATATATTTCTCTCCTTATATATTTATTTTTTATTTTGTTTTCATTTATTTCTCTCATCGATAAACAATAAATCGATAAAAATGAGAAAAATTTTTATGCTGAAAGTTAGTAATGAATTAATTAATTTTCATAGTTTCATAGCTACATAGAATAAAAATCAAATATATACAGTAAATAAAGTAATCACATAGTAAACATCATTGAGAAATAAAATATAATACAAATAACATATGTTCATTTTTTGTTCTGATTACTCGATCGATGAGATAATAGTATTGTTTTTGTAATGTGTACTTTTATTTAATGTTTATTATATAATTATTGTAAGAAAATATTTTTTTCTTGAAATTCAAAAAGGAAAAAACGTTTGATGCAATGGGAAATTAACGAATACTCAGATTACAAGATGTTCGCGAAAGAAATATTTATCAACACTTTCATGTGATAAAGCAGACAATGCCTATACATATACATTCAATTTACACAATGTGTGTACATAAAACGAAATAGACAGAACAATTTCAAACAAATTAAAAAGAAAAAGAAAAAGAAAATGATTTAATTTTTTTACCAATATTAAAAACGAAAAAAATAAAATATTCACATTCCTGTTCGTCTTTGTTCTTTTCAATTTTTTACATTGAATTGCACACGTCTTATAATACGATGAATATAAATACATGTATATTTTCTGAATTGATTATCATTTGTCAAAATAATTTTATACTACTAGAATAAAATCACTTAGTATGATAAATATAACGATTATGTGTTATGCGAATGTTGTATTATAATGTAACTAACAGATAAGAAACAGAAATGGCACGTGGTCTAGTAATGTGTATGTGTACTCGTTAAATTTCCATAGCTTTCGTAACGCATAATAGAAATTTTGCTCGTCGGATGCTGTGATCGGTCTCTGACTCTGGCTGACTGACGCAAGTACCCTGTTCGTTTGATATTCGTATGGAAATGTCGACATCCGTGTGCAATGACAATTATTACAATACGCATAGACTTCAACACGTGCATGATAACTATATTTAATTGGTGATTAACGTTAATTAGAAGATATATACGAGATTCGTACTCTTTCTACTCTTTTGTATAAATTTCAATAGAAATATATGATTATTATTTTTGATATTAAATATAAAATATTTGTATATTAAAATAACTTATTTTAATAGTGTAATATATTTTTTCGTACCTGGTTAATAAAAGATTTTTGTGAAACGTAACACCTTCTTCACGTTCCTTCTACAGGCAAGTATTTCCATTTCTTGATTTTTTAAACGTGTCGTTCAACGACAATTAATGCATTCAATCCAAGACATTAGTTATTGTTGTTGATTGTTTTAGTCAATTTTATTTAAAATCAAAGTTATATTTTCGTTGATGATAGATACACTCGTAATGCAAAGGAGGATAATTTCGCAAGTTTGGTAGGAAGTCACTATCGATGTTATCGTATCAGTTGTTCTAAAGAAACTGTGACAACAGCTGTTTACCGCGTTTACACCATCATCATACATGTAAAAGACGGCTTGTCATGTTTAAATGTATCATCTTATAGGATGATGATGTGTCTTAGGATAGAATTGACAGCAAACTATTACTAGAATAATATTACTGTTCAATTGGAATTTCATTCAGTCAAAAGTAGATTACTTGCACGGCAAAATTCGACTGACCATAACTCAATTATAATTTCGTGATATGTGATTAATAGCATTGTCTTAGCTAATGATAACTATATTCGAGTCAACAATTTTCACAAAACATATCTTGCAAAAAAAAATCACATTTTCTATTTATGATTAATTATGAAAAATATACTCTCATGTCGATTTTATTTTCATATGTGATCACATTACACCTTTGGATTTTTGCGCGCGGCGTTGATATTTTAGAAATCAATGAAAGGACGACAAGTCGAAAATACGAGAATTCTCGAACTTTTTTGGCAATAATTATTTTGTTTTACAATCTCTTTATATTTCTATAACTTCACATTTTTCGATTAATATCTCTGATCGAAATGATTTTATAATATCTCGGAGTTAAATATCTTTTTAATGTTCATGAGAAACAAGCAGCTTCGGTAACATTTCCATAGTATGAGACAAACAACACTGCGCGTGTATCGATTAAGGGAACAACTACGACCAGTTAGAATCACCTTCGCTCTATAACGAATATATAACGAAACCACCACTATATTTCCCCTCGACCCTTGTTCGACGTCAACTCGACGAGTGTTTGTAGAACGGCTCATACATGAAGATCTTCCAAATCTGGATTCTTTATTAGCAAGGGTTGTCAAGCTATCTTCTTAACTTTTAATTTTTTGATTAAATTACAATCAATTTTTCTATGGATGAAAACTTTAGAATATAAATATTTATTCTTTTTGTAAATTTTACTTTTTTTTTTCGTAAATTAATTAAACGTAAATTAAGTTAAAATTAAATTAAAACTTATTTTAGAAAAAAAATTCCTATATAAAATTTTTTTTTAATTCAGATATATCTTATCTATTAGAAATTAAATTTTCTTCATATAACAAAGTTTATAAATTTATTTACATAAAAGAAAATGTAATTGCTTGGAAAAAAATATAACTATTTTAAAAATAAACAATATATGTGCTTTATTTTATTCATCAGAAATTTCATCATCTTCTACAGTTTTCGCTTTCTCTTCTATCTTCGTTCGTGCAATTAGTTCCTTGGCTGGATTAAATACGCCATTGGTTTGCACATTACATATGTAACATCTTGTACTTTTTCTATATTGTTCTAAAGCACATTTTTCACAGAAATAATGTTTGCATCTGAAAAAAAATTCATTTTATACATTTTGTATCTAGTTAAATTTGAAATATAGAATTATAGTATATACTTTGTAACCACAGGGTCGGTAAAACTATTGCGACAAATGAAACATTTGAATGGTAATGTTTCTTCATCGCTGTTAATTTCATATTTTTTATCATCTTCGTCTCCACTATTATTATATTCTCCTGTAGCAGCTTCTCTTTCTAACTGCCAACCCAATTTGTAATCCGAACGATCATGAAGAAATTTACAACTATCTGAAAATAAAAATAAATAAATAAGAAAAATAAATGAGAATTTAATAAATTAACAAAATTTTAATTCTATTTACCTCCAAAACCACAGAAACCAGTTTCTTTATAATCTTTACATATATCTGGTTGATAATCCCATCTTACAGTTGCTCTAAGATTAGATGGTGCTCTGATTGGTCCTTTACGTACCATACCACTAGAAGCATTTCCAGCAGCTGTATCTTTTTTTTTATAATATTGAATATAATTATTCAAACCCCTATATATTTTATCATCTTCTTTTCCTTCAAGTTCCTAAAAAAATATTATTATATTTTATAATGTTGTTTCAATATATTTTTGTACCATTGCATTATGCACCTCATTTATTTTTTGAGCTTTTTCAAATAAAGCTTGAGCGTCCTTATCCTTTTCTGTCTCTGTTTCTAAAATTGCTGTTGCTCCTTGATCGCTTGGTCCTGCTGGCATAGGCGTTCTAGAACTCTTGTAAGATACTGTAATACTTTCTTCTTCACTGCTATCATTATTAATTTTTTTCTGCTGATCTTTTAATTTCCTTGTATTAGTCTGTAAAGAGCTATATTTACACCATGTTTCCAGTTTTATTAATTCAAATTTTATTAAGTATTATAATTAGTTTTATTATATTTTATTAAAAAATATCATAAATATAATTTTAGAAAAGATTGTCCATCTTACACTTTGTTTCATAAGATTATTATCATCCTGCTTCTTTTCCTTCCTAATTACTGTAGTTTCATCTTCACTACTCTCTGTTTAAAAAAATAAAAAAATTAGTATTTATGGCATTAAACATAACCTATAGATTATACTAATCGAGTTTATATAATGAAATTATAAATTTAATAAGACAAAAGAAGAAAAATCTAATATTCTTTAAGTATACGTTACCATTTTCGTTATTTCCTATTTTACGTTTTCTAGCTGCAGTGCTTCGAATTTTCCTTCTTTTAAATAAGAACGTACAATTTTTCTTATCTGTTTTGGATTCTGCGTCTTCCATATTTGTTTTGTAAACAATCTGGTTTTAGTACTTCTGTAACTTGAATATTTAATATTATTTAAGGATTAGAATCTGTGAAAATACTATTTTGATTTTCTATTCAACTATTCAAAATCGAATTTATTTAAGTGAGTTAAATCCAAAAATAAATACATACTTAAAATATTGTACACATTTTTTGTTACGATTAATAGGTTATATTTGACTAGAAATTAGGAATGCTAAACGATTGTCAAATTATATTTTAAGTTTATACAAAATTGTAATATATATGTATGTTTATATATACTTGAAATTATAAATAATTCTAATAAAATTATTTCTGTGCAATTATATTTTAATTTATATAAAAAAAATTTGATAAAAAATTAATATAAATTTTTGGCGCGTTTCAGGCAAATTAATATGAATAAAAAAAAAAATATGGCAATTGACTTCCAAGATAATATGATACTGTTAACTAGGAAATATTTAAAGCGTAAAATTATGTGTCCTGAAACAAAATTCAGACATTATGTTAAAGAAAGAATGCACATATTAGAATTGTTAAAAAGAACAGTAGATATGGGTGAAAGTAATTCTGTTTTATTAATTGGACCTAGGGGTAGTGGAAAAACAACAGTATGTCCTAATTATTTGTTTTATAAAATCATATTTGATTTCTTTATACATATTATTATTTTTTTAGCTAATAAATAGTGTTTTAAAAGAATTGTCATATGTGAAAAGTTTTAAAGAAAATGCATTAATAGTAAATCTTAATGGTCTTGTTCACACTGATGATCGATTAGCTTTGAAGGATGCTACACGTCAAATGCAATTAGAAAATGTTGTTGATGGTAAAGTTTTTGGCACATTTGCTGAAAATTTATCTTTTCTTCTTGATTGTTTGAAATCAGGTGATAAGAAGTCTTCCAAACCAGTTATTTTCATATTAGATGAGTTTGATTTATTTTGTGAACATCATAATCAAACTCTGTTATATAATCTATTTGATATTGCTCAATCTGCACAAGTAAGTGTAATATTTTGTATTAACTTAAAATTGATTTGAAAATCAATTATATTTTCATTTGTTCAGGCACCAATATGTGTAATAGGAATGACTTGTAGATTAGATGTTATAGAACTCTTAGAAAAAAGAGTTAAATCAAGATTTTCTCATCGGCAAATATTTTTATTCCCTGGAGATATGTCATTGTCAGAACAACCATCATCTGCTTTTGATGATCGTTTAGAACTTTTTCAACATCTTTTAAGTCTTCCTGATGATGAAAATATAAATAGGATAGAGCATCAATATGATGATTGTATAATAGAACCACAATTTGGGTCTGTATGGAATGATTATATAAAAAGTTTAGTTAGTAATGTTACTATGGTGAATCTATTAAAAAAAATGTATCAAATTGATGTAAGTGAAAGAAGTTTTAGAAATTTTCTGGCAATAACTGTTTCTTCATTATCAGAGAAACATCAAAGACTAGAAATAAATGATTTTATAGAAGCAAGTAAAATGTTTTCTCAAGATGACAAAGTATTAATGCTTGAAGGATTATCTGTATTAGAAATGTGTTTAGTAAGTGTATTTATAAATTTTTTTCAATATGGGATATATTTTTGATATCCAATATATATATTTTAGATAATATCAATGAAACATGAAACAGAAATTTATGATGGAGAGCCATTCAATTTTGAAGCAATTTATAATCGTTATATTAAATTTGCTAATCAAAATTCTTCTATACAAACTGTTCAAAAGCCTGTTATTATGAAAGCATTTGAACATATTAAGGTAACAATTGTAACATAAAAACAAAATAGTATTATTTTATTATTTCAATAAAAAGTAATATAATACATATTTCCACAGAATTTAGAATTTATACTGCCAGTGAGTGGCATGAATTCAAAAGTTGAAAAAGAATATCAATATTATAAATTTTTACTCACTTCACAACAAGTTATGGAAGCTGTAAAAAATTATTCTGGATTACCAACAGAAGTATCACAATGGGCAGTAATTAATATGTAATTATAATAGATTCATAAAATTACAGGTGCTAAGAAGTTTTATATTTATAATATCATTCATGCAATCTTAGCCATTTTATGAAATAAATATAAAATTTATAATTTAAAATTTAAAACATATTTTCAGTATAGATATTTATTTAAAAAAAAATATGAATATATTTTCTATAATTATAGTTATATAAATATGTATTCATTTAAAAAATATGTTTTTTTTATATATGAAACTATACATATAATTTTAATTATAATCAAATTAAAAAAAATATCAAGCATTTTCTAAAGATAATTATAAGTCTAATTAACCACAAAAAAATATAGTTTACATTTATATATATTTGATAATATCGAATTAGATAAAAAATTAGAAATTATTTTCTGAATATTTATGTAACATAGTCTTTGTGCAGCTATTCCTGCCTATTATAGCGTCCAATATTATATCTTAAATAAATAAAAACGACAAATAATATTTCATAACAATATTTTATCTGAAATTTATAATAAAAGAAATTTTTGTATAGATATCATATTATTAATCAATATGTACAGTGTCTGTGATCTTTCAATAGAATTATTTTCTATATGCTAGTATTTATAATTTTTATTTATATATGTGTAACATTTTAATTATTTATCAGAGATTGCGCGTACATTGTATGATATAATAGTAAAATATGAAAGCATTAAAAAGCATATATATGAATATATTTATACATTTCTAATAAATTTAAAATTACTACAATCTTGAAGAATATTCTAATCTATCCAAGCAAAATTTGGCTTGTTTTTATCTGTTAGTATAGCATCAGTAATTGTATTCAATTGAGAATTCTTTGATAATTTTTTTTCAAGAAAAAATTGTTTTCCATAATTAAAACGATTTTTACGATTATATTTTTTAATATATGTATCATGACCTGTAACAATCAATTTGTAATAATTTTTATAATATTTTTCAACCGAATGCATCTTACCTGGATTGATTCCCACAGGATGAACATTTGTTAATTCATGTTTTTCTAAAATTCGAAGAGCAGACATGGCTCTACTTATTCCAATCTAAAAAATATATATAATCATGATGTACATAATTTTTAATTATAAATATGTAATAATTAAAATAAAAACCTGTGAATGTCGTATTCGATGTTCTACTAAATCTGCACCTAAAAGCTCGTCATGAATACTCATTCTAATTGGTATAATTTTATTTATGAACTATAATAATAAAATATTAATTAAATAAGAAATTTTTAGTGAATATTATATATATTTACTATTATTTACCCATAACAAAATAGTAGATACAATAAAACTCCAAAATGCTAAGCATACAACTGTTAAACATTGTATACCTAACAAATATCCTCCTCCTCCTATAAAGAAAGAGATATTTTTATATAATTTAATTTTTTTATAAGATAAATTTATATACCTTTTAATAATCCTTTTCTTCCATTGGTAGTATTAAGGGGATATGGATTGTCTGCAAATAAACCAATAGCAATAATACCCCAGATTCCACTTGCACCTATATCAAAAGAATATGATTAATAAAATAAGAAATCTTCAAAATATTTATTAATAAAATTAAGAAAAAAAATTAAAACCATGTGTAGCACTAGCTCCAACAGGATCATCAATGTGCATTTTATCTAATAGGGGCATAGTAAAACATGTAATAAAGGCACCAATCATTCCAACAATTATAGATTCCCAGGCTCTAAAAAGAAAACAACCACCTAACTGATACTATAAAGTTATTAGTAGAATAATAAATATTTTATGAATATTAATTATTTTATATTGAAACTCACCTGTGATTGCAACTAATGAACCAAGAATGCCATTTATTTGACTCAAAATGTCAATTCTATCTGGACCATTTAGGCTAAAGCCTAAACCAACTAAACCACCTCCCATGCTTGCTAACATCGTAGAAATTGCTGCTCTTGCAGCATATTGCCATCGTTGTCCACTGACACCATATGTGCTACCACTGTTAAAAGCTAACCAACCCCACCTTGTATAATTATGTTCATTAATATATTGAAACTTTGTAAAATAATTTATTTATAGATTTAATTATTTATTTTACCAGAGTACAAATAAGCCCATAATAGCATTAACTGGACATCCAAGAGGCAATGGATCAATTCCATTATCATATCTGCCTAGTCTTGGTCCCAACATTATGGCACATGCAAGTGCTATTATAATTAATACTTTAAATATTTTATTAAATTATTGCAAAAATGTATTCATATTTTACCAGAACTACCACCAACAAGATGCACTGCCCCTGAACCAGCAATATCAACGGCACCCAATTTTTTCAAAAAACCCTGATCACCCCATATCCATCCAGCTGGTACACAATACACAATTGTATTTAAGAAAGAAAATAAACAATATGCTTTAAAATTACATCTGCAATTATATGATATGCAAGTAGACTAAAAAAATTTTACAAAATATTTTACATAATTACCGTTCAGCCATAGCACCGCTAACAATAGTTGTTGAAGTGGTTGCAAAGCTTAATTGGAATAAAAATGCCGCACATTTCGGACCCATAAATTCATCTTCTAAAGAAGGATCTATTAAAAATTCGCCCATACCAATAAAAGGATTATTTAATTTATCTGTTCCAAAACTCATTGCAAAACCAAAAGCCCAATAAGTTAAACCGCCAAGTACTATATCAACAACATTCTTCATCATAATGTTAACTTCATTTTTTAAAGAAACACATCCAGATTCTAACATACCGAAACCTGAATAAATGAAAAAATTAACTTTATTGCATTCCTTGGCATCATTTAATTTAGAACTTTACCCGTTTGCATAGTAAAAATTATGAATGAATTTGTTATAATCCAATTACTATCTTCTTGATTCAAATTATAAGCAGAAACAAAGTATGTTTCTGTAATTGAAGAATTTGTAATATTCGTTTCATTGTTTCCTATTTCCATTTTTTTTCAACTTCTTTCATCAAAAGAAAGGCATTAACTAGATGATTTTCTACTTGAATAACCCAGAAAGCAGTACTTCAGAGAAAAACATATTAAAAATGAACGAATCGCGACGAAAACATTTTAATTATGAACGAGTTCCAATTTCAAACCGTTTTCTCTTGATGTCACGAATTTATAGTTTCAGAAATGTGTAATTTTTAGATAGGGAAACAATTACATTCTCAAAATTTATTTTTATATTTTTTTTATTGGCCCACATCCAGCCGTTACAACAAATTTTTACCTCACCATATTTTCAGCAAGTTCTTTCCATTTTGTTATGATCAAATAATATTGAATCATGTGAATAGAATAATACTAGCCTAAATAAAAGAAAATTATATCACATAAAACATCTACACAGAGTTATAAATTTATCATAAGACCATTCTAGATATTAGTAACTTTTAAATTATCGTTAATGCGTGTAAATATATTTGTAATAATTGTGAATTAATTAATTATTTTTTTTTAACATGAAGAAAATTTTTCTTCCATCGCTTTTTCAATTTTATAATATGAGGCTAGATATGATAAAGAAATCATAGCTCTGATTCTTACATTCTGATTCCCTAAGCTTTCGCCGATTAGCGGTGAGTGACGGAATCAAAAATACAACGTTCGTATATTTGGCAGACGAACGTGTCCAATTTATCTTAAGGAAGCAAAGTTAAAATTAGTTTATGATGCTAAAATTTAAAATTTCACTCAAATAATTGAAAGATGTAATTTTGTTAACACTTCCAAAAGCTTCTAAAAGGACTACGTTGTTATTGATGGCAAATTTTTGTTGTCTGCTCTTTTGTTCGGATGTTTTTTTTTTATTTTTGTGTAATTTAGTGTCCATACACATTCTCATCGCTGTATGCTATGTAGAGGAAGAAGTCTTCTTCATGATGTTCCTATGAAAAATTTAAATTACAGTAAATATAGCTAATACATACACGCACACGCGCGCGCACACACATACACACATCACCATAACACACCATATACACACGCATACGCATATACACACATATGTTTATAATGTATTTAAAATTATATAATTACTGCATAAAGAGAACCCATTGTAGCACTTGTTGGAGGAATAATGTTGTTCACAAAAAAGAATAGAGCATCTTCTGGACGAAGGTGAATTCGTTTACGGATTAAAAAATAGAATTGTCCCACAGTCAAATCAGATGGTACTAGATATTTTTGTTTATCCAAATCACTAATTTTTGCTTTTGGAGCCTTCTCAACAATTACCTGAGAAATATAAATTTAATTATTAATATTATTAATGAAATAATACAATTAAATAAAAATTATTAATTTTAATTTTAAATTCATTATATTTTAATAAAAATAAAAAGAAAATCTTTAATTATTATGTCAAAATCATATCATTATTTGAATCATAAAATATATCTTGGTTTATTGTTACGATTAAAATAGCTTAAAATCTACATTTGATATCGTATATATTTGATATTTATTAAAATAATTTCATATGTTTCATATTTTATATATGAAAATGAAAATTAATACATTAAAATTTTTTAAAAATCGAGCAAGAAGAAAAAATACTTTTTCTTTTCAATTTTATCAATCAAAAATTATAGATATGAGCATAGTACGATCAATAGACTCGAGCAATGGCAAGGCGAGCACACAAAGAAATATGATACGAACGGTAAATTTAATTGTTAGCATTTAAATTAAAAAAAAAAATTTGCATCATCTTGAAATAATAGTATATACGACGTAGAAAGTCGACCTTCGCTTATTCCAGACCAGGAAATTCTCTAAATGCGGATTGAATCAGTTAACTATGAATTAATTTAGTCTAATTATTCATAAAGAAATAATTTTAATCAATGTTTTTTTGGTAATGTCCATTCTATTGGATAGAAAAATGAATTCCTCTTGACGAACAAAATGGTTAACTTTTTCGGACGAGATACTCACAGGAACCCTTTCGGGATATTTTCGTCGAATCTTTTCACCCTCGACCTTCCTCCTTTCGAAAGAGTGTTTTTCTTTGTAATGAAACTTCATCGTGCCCGCGCGTTTGCACGAGCCGTGCAATTTAATGGACTTACTTTTTCTCTTTAGCTACCAAATTCTTTTTCTTATCGATTTGTACAATGATTCCGAACTGGAAATACGACGATACGATGATACTCTTCTCTACTTCTGTCACAACAATCACCGTGCGTCAGTTCGTCTGCGCACTGCAATTTACTTTTCCACTCTACGCTAACGAGAAATAGTCCCTCAGTTTCCGTTTTGAAATTTAAGGAAAAATATACTTAAAGATAGGATAATAGTAACAATTTATTTAAATAACTTGAATATGCTTTGATATGTTAACGAAATATATATTTAATGGGAGAAAAATGATTTCATAGATGTATTTAATAGATAAAACAGGACCGTCTCTATGAATTTTTTTATATAATATTATACAATATTATTAAAAAATAAAACAATAGCATTAATATTTATTAAATTAATAGAATTTGCAAATAAATTTCTCGTTTATTTATGTAAATATAATATTATAAAGAAAAAGACTATTTTTTTTCATTATTCGTTTAATCATATTTTTTATTCACTTGTGCACTTGTATTTTTTTATTATAGAATGTTTCATATTTTGTTTATCCAATTTAATTACATTTACATATTTCACATAAGGAAATTGATCTATATAAAAATAAATAAAATAAATAAATAAAGTAAATAAATAAAGTTCTTCAATATAAATACTCGAATTTTTGGGGAGTTAAACGAACCTTAAATAGATACGAGTTTGTTGGTGATAAATACTGACTTATGTTTTTCTCTACTACGCCTCTAGTGACGCATTTTTCTATATTTCCAACTCTATATAATCAGCGTCTCTAATGCATTTGTAAAGATTATAAAAAAATATTTAAAATACAAAAATAATATATACAAATGTACAAAAAAATATAAATTTTCAAAGTAAAAAATATAATTAAGTTTTCATTATAATATTTCAAATCAGCAACATTAAATAAAATAAATTTATTTTAAAATTTGAATTCTTTTCGTAATTTCATAAAAATTATAAATTTATATAAATATTTATAAAATAAATAAAATAAAATTTAATTTTCTTTTCTTTTCATAATATATATATATATATAT